ACCAGCGGCCGGGGATGATGGGAGTTGTAGTCCAAAAACTGCCAGAGACCCAAAGTCTGGGGAACGCTGCTGTAGAGGGAAGCCCTGCAACGGGGAACCCAAGGCAGACTCGGAGAGAGAGACAGAGAGGGAGCAGGCAGCAGGAGGGCGGAGAGGCCCCCGCGAGGAACAGCCGCGTCCATCATGGCGGCGCCGGAAGCCCCCTCGCGCCCGCCCCTTCCCCGCCAGAAGAATGTGAGGGGGAATAATAACGAATCCGGGCTCCTTACTACGTGGGGATGAGGAGCAGCTTGAGTAGCGTGACCCCGAAGGCCAGAGCCGCGAACCAGCCTCCGCTCGCCGCCATCACGGCCCGCTTGCCTCCGCCAGCGCCTCAGAGGGCCGGCGGGCACTGCGCATGCGTGGGGGTGGAGGCGAGCCGTTGCCGCGCCGCAACGGTTTCAACCGCCTTCGCAGCATCCAGGCGCCTGCGCGGGAAGACCGGCGGGCGGGAAAAGTACTGCGCCTGCGCGCTGGCTTTACTCGCGGCGTCCTGGCTCGCCACACCCCCTGCAGGCGGGAGTGTGTCAATGCAGCCGCCTCGACGCAGGGGGTTTGCACACCGGTTCTTTGCTTGTTATGTGCAGTTGGTTCCAAGTCTAGAGGCTCTAGAATTCAGTGGGGCTTATTTCTGGCAGACTCTGAGAGAGTTGCAGGCTTCTAAATGTGCACTAGTCCCAAGTCTAAATCCTGACCCTGTAGAATTTATTGGGCTGTTTTTATTCTGATTATATATGTGTGTGGGTGTATGTGTGTGTGGGTGTGTGTATATATATATATATATATATATGTTTTTATGTTGATCTAGTATGTGAACCACCCAGGTATAGGTATAGGTAAAGGTCCAGTTAAGTTCAGTTGCAGACGACTTGGGGGTTGCAGCGCTCATCTCACTTTACAGGCCAAGGGAGCCGGCATTTGCCTGCAGACAGTTTTTCCGGGTCATGTCGCCAGCATGACTAAGCTGCTTCTGGCACAACGGAACATTGAAACCAGAGCAGTGCATGGAAACGCCGTTTACCTTCCCGGCGCAGCAATACCTATTTATCAACTTGCACATTTTTGGTGTGCTTTTGAACTGCTAGGTTGGCAGGAGATGGGACCGCGCAACAGGAGCTCACCCTGTTGTGGGGATTCGAACCGCTGACCTTCTGATCAGCAAGCCCAAGAGGCTCAGTGTCTGGGTATACGGTGGTACAATTGTACCTTGTTTTGCAACCGGGATCCGTTCCAGAGCCCCGGCCGCTAGCCGAAAAGAATGCAGGGAAAAGTGCCGCGTCTGTGCACACGCGGATCGGTTTGTGCTTCTGTACATGCGCGAAGCGTGGTTTAGCGCTTCTGCATGTGCGTGAGTGGCAAACCCAGAAGTAACCCGTTCTGGTACTTCCGGGTTTGCCGTGGACGTTCGCCGGAACGGACACTTGATGAGGTGGACGTTTGTAAAGTATTACTGTATATAAATTCAATTAATAATAATTTGATGGGAGTTATTCCTGGCAGTGTTTCTGGTTAAACGTGGGGTTGCAGGCTTTTACTATATGGATCTCACTGGTTTGGAACTGGAAGTGTTAAAGGGGTTTGCAGCGTGTTTACTCTTCAATCCCACTGGACATACTCCTAAATTGTGCATAGTGTCGCTGCCTTAATTTGTGTCATGCAAAACTTAATTCTTGCTTTGTATTCACGGTGAGGATTGATTGCAAGCTCATTACACAAAGGGCTGATAAATATAATAAACAAATAAATAGTAATGTGAGCTCGAAACCCCATACAGTTTCATATGTGATAAATTATTGCTGTTACTGTTCTTCATTTTGCCAGAGCCGCTTGAATTCCATGCAAACCTAGGATCTGTAAATTGGTGCGAAACTTTGCACACCAGAAATATACAAAGTTGTCTCAGCTGTCTAGTGGGGAAGCACCCTGACAAGTTTATTGTCTGTCTGAATGAGCAAGTCAGAAAGTGATTGGAACTGACATCCCATGATTTGAAGACTTATCTTGCAGGTGTTTAGCTTGCTTTCTCTTTTAACCTCACTGGTTTCATTTCAGCCAGCTGTGGAGAATCTTTGGCTCTCCAGGTTTTCGCTGAACTACAACAAAGGTGACCAAGATGATAAAGTGTCTGGAAAAATAGAATAGGTGAAATTATAAGATGGTAGGTTTCAGTTGAATATTAGGAAATGCTTATTGACAGGGGTGGGGGGTGGGGGGAACCTGAAGCCCTCCAGTTGTTTCTGGAATAAAACCTCCATAATTTATTTTTGACTAAAGGGCCAATCTGCCTGAAGCAGATGGGAGTTGGAGTCCAACAATATCTCAAGGGCCACAGGTTCCCCACCTGTGCCCTAGAGGCTTGAAAACCAATCATCGCTTTGGTTTTTTTGTACCCAGAGACTATTGCAGGCATAGGCAAACTCGGCCCTCCAGATGTTTTTTTTTGGACTACAACTCCCATCATCCCTAGCTAACAGGACCAGTGGTCAGGCATGATGGGAATTGTAGTCCCCAAACATCGGGAAGGCCAAGTTTGTCTATGCCTGGACTATTGTATGCCCAGATAATATTTCTATTGTCTGATTCCACCCTTCATCCAAAGATCACAAGGCAGTTTACGGTATTCGGAATTAACTTCAGTTTTCTGGAGACTCCAAAGACAGACCCCATATGTACAATTTATTACAGTCATCTATCCTAGATGTCAGTTTAATGGAAAGGCATGTTGTTCAACATGATCACAATGCCTCCTGCCCGGATGCATAGAAAACCACAATCTGTCTGTAAGGGGCTGACATGCCAGTCTCTGTGTCTGAAAAATGCTCTTGAACAAATTTGATCACCCTTTTAGTCAATGAGGGCAGTGCAATTTGGGGGTGGGGTGAGGACAGAGGTCATGTTCCATCTTCTACTTTTGTCATGCAATAACTACCTGTGGGATATTGCGATCCGTCATAAACCAAGCCCAGACACACATGCGGAATTCTCAGAGGCATGTTTCTAAAGTTAACAAGCAGATTTATTATAAACATCTGTTAAACCCAATATGCTTTTAGAGAGAGTCCCAAAGACCCTGTAACTCTGCAATAAGATGTCTTTACAGAATCTGTCATGGAGTTTGGCATTTATTGCAGAACTGAACGCCATTCGTCATAATCCCCCACAGAGCATCGAGTGTCGACGTCTAAGGACACCTTTCAAAGTGTCACTTTGGCATCCCGATGAAGCAGATTTCAAAGTCGCCCTCTACCTGGCTCTGAATTCTTTCCAAGGTGAACTGAAATCTCAAAAGAGTTTTTACAGGACCAGTTTCTGTGCACAAAAAAGTCAGATGTTTTTACAGTGATTGCAACCAATTTCCTACAGACATCTTTGGTCCGTCCTGAGTCAAGCTCCCTCTATCCTGACTGCCCACTCTGCTGATATACCATTGGCCAGGGGACCAAGATCACTGTTGGACTATGACTACAGCCCCTGGAAGTATGGCTGATAGCCAGGGATGATGGGAGTTGTAGTCCAACAAGTGTAGGGTACCATGCTATTATTATTAAATGTTTTTATATATGCTGGAAGCCGCCCAGAATGGCTGGAAGCCGCCCAAGGTGCCTGGGGCAACCCAATAAGATGGATGGGGTACAAATAATAAACTATTATTATTATTATTATTATTATTATTATTATTATTATTATTATTGGCTACCACTGCTGCCGTCAGTTGCATGCCTTCCTAGAGAGAGATGACCTGGCCATAGGCACCCGTGCCCTAGAAACATTCCTGCTTTTATTAATTGCTTTCGGGTATTTTAGTCGCTATGGCTTTAAAACAATCTGCTGCTCTGTTGCTTCTACTGCTTTCCATTATGCAATATATTTATTTTTTCATTAAGCCCTCTGGAGACTCATGCAAAAGATGGGCAGTAAATCCCTAACAGCGCCCTCCTACGCACGTTTATTCGGAAGTTAAGCTCACTCCCAGATAAGTGTGAGTGGGATTGCTCCCAGATATGTGTGAGTGGGATTGCCGCCTCAAATGAATAAATAATAGAATTGCAGAGTTGGGAGGGACACCGAGGGTCATCCAGTCCAAACCCCTGCGATGCAGGAATAGAATCCACTCCAAATGAAGCACAGGGCTAGTGAGCTATGTTCTCTTTGGGGGTGAGGGTGTCACAAGTTGTGCAGGCCTGATCTAAACCTAGGCCCCTTCGTGCTTTTTTCTTTTTGCTCTGAGGAGAATCTGTGTTCGTCCGTGTCCAACACCCCTTCTCCATCTGACTATTGCAATGCGCTCTATGTGGGGCTACCTTTGAAGGTGACCCGGAAACGACAACTAATCCAGAATGCAGCTAGACTGGTGACTGGGGGCGGCCACCGAGACCACATCACACTGGTCTTGAAAGACCTACATTGGCTCACAGTATGTTTCTGAGCACAATTCAAAGTGTTGGTGCTGACCTTGAAAGCCCTAAACAGCCTCGGCCCTGTAGACCTGAAGGAGCGTCTCCACCCCCATCTTTCTGCCCGGATACTGAGGTCCAGCTCCGAGGGCCTTCTGGCGGTTCCCTCACTGCGAGAATTGAGGTTACAGGGAACCAGGCAGAGGGCCTTCTCGGTAGTGGCACCCACCCTGTGGAACGTCCTCCCATCAGATGTCAAGGAAATAAACAACTACAGTATCTGACTTTTATAAGACATCTGAAGGCAGCCCTGTTTAGGAAGTTTTTAATGTTTGATGTTTTATTGTGTTTTAAATATTTTGTTGGGAGCTGCCCAGAGTGGCTGGGGAAACCCATTCAGATGGGCAGGGTATAAGTAATAAATTACAGTGGTACCTTGGGTTAAGTACTTAATTCGTTCCGGAGGTCTGTTCTTAACCTGAAACTGTTCTTAACTTGAAGCACCACTTTAGCTAATGGGGCCTCCTGCTGCCGCCGCATGATTTCTGTTCTCATCCTGAAGCAAAGTTCTTAACTCGAGGTACTATTTCTGGGTTAGCGGAGTCTGTAACCTGAAGCGTATGTAACCCGAGGTACCACTGTATTATTATTATGAGTGCTGGGGTAACCAGCTGCAAAATACTCCCTTTGCTGGCTGGTTCTGGAAAGGCTGGAAGGAGATATCATGGCCCTAAGCCACGTAGCTCAGCCCTGAGCCATGTAGCTCTTAATCTCAGGGCTATGGGTTCGAGCCCCACGGTTGGGGGTTGGACTAGATGACCCACATAGTCCCTTCCAACTCTGCAATTCTATGATCTTGCATTTGACTAGTGCCTGTTAGCTGCACTCTCCACATAGATGCTAGGCAGTTTTCAGATGCTTCCTTTCTCCTTTGGAACAAACAGGGTCATAGGAAGCTGGCGTTTTACCAAGACCATTTGTTTCCCTAGCGCGGTATCATCCACACATACCGACAGTGGCACTTCAGAGTTCAGTTGGGGATGTTCCCAGTCGTATCTGCAGAAGCTGGGGATTGAACCTGGAACCTTCTGCATGCAAAGCAGAGACAGATATCCCCCAATAGCCTAGTACCATGAGGCCATGCTCCATTTTGTACCGCAGGCAAAAGCCCCAAATATTCCAGAGGCCGCCTCTTCAGACCGTTTGAATCTTACAACTGGACACTCACGTTAAAGGAAACAGCGACAGCATGGAGGCAAACTGCTGCACTGGGGAAACTTGGGCAATTTCCTATCTACGTACCAGAGACATTATAATGTGACCGAGGAGGGAATCAACTCCAATGGCTGTCATGCCCTGCTCGGGTCAGAAAGTCTCTCTCACCCTGAATCCTCCAGCTCTTGCACAAACACAGACATCCTTAACCGCCTTTAGCCGCTCGGCTGCCCTTCATAGTAAGTTAAGATTGCACAAGTCTCTTCCCAGTGGGAAAAATGAGGCAGAGAGGTTAAAATGATGAGTCACCCGTCATTAAACAAAATGTGGGATCTCTTCACAACTCCCAGTCTCTGTGTAAATAGTTCAATATTGCTATTTTGCCCTGTCAACCCCACAGATAAGGGACGAACAGCTTCATTCTGGCATCGTGCCGTTTGGGAAACAGATTTATCCATCAACCTTCCCCCTCCCTCGCCCTTTCTGCCTCTTCCTCGCTGGGCACAATATAGCATCGAACATGCAAGGGGGGCAAACAAGGGCAGTACATAATGCCCCCGGTGCTGATGTCATTGCCGGTGCCCACAGGAAGAGACTCGTCCCTTCCCGATGATGCATCTTAGAAGAAAGGCAATTGGTTGACACGGAACCAGAGATCTTCCTCCGTCCCTGCTACCACCTGGCCCACAAACCAATCTGTCACACATCCCTAATCTGGAGTTTTGACATACACTGGTTAGTCTGTTAAGCAGAAAACTAACTTCATAATTCAGGTTATTAGCACACGATTCGTGAAGCGGGCTCGAAGAGGTAAACCCGTATCCAGACACGAACCTCAGCGCATCGTTGCTATGTGTAGCGGAACGGAGGGTGAAGCCTACTTGTACCGTATTAGCCGGATAATTTTATTGTTCATAAAATCCGAGGCGTGCGGGTGAGAGGAGTCGACGCAGAAGCCATCGCTCATGGCGATTTTCAGTACCTCCTCTACAAACACCTGGAAACTGTTGATCTGCTTCTTGGCCGGCAGGACCCACAACCTCTTTAAGTTCTGCCTGGTGTACTCCTCTTCCGGCAGCCCTTCCACGCTGGCAACCCAATCCAAGGTCACGTGGTAGGGATCCTGCAGGTAGCTGGAGATCGAGGACAGGTTGCCGTTGAAACAGTAGTAGAGTTTGGAGCCCAGAAGTTTGAGGAACAAACTGGAGGTGCTGAAAATGTGAGCGTTGAACACTTCCATGTTGGAAGAGGACAAGCTGTAGATCTGGGGAGCTTCCCGGACGGTGAAGTGAACCGTCTGAGTCCTCTGGTCCAAGCTGATGTTGAGCATGGCGTTCTTCTCCGCCCTAGAGAGCTCCACCTCCTTCTCCTGCAGGGCCTCAATCAGCGGCTGCACCTGGTAGAAATCTGCTTCTCGGCGGAGCAGGCCCATTTCTTGGAAGTCCTCTGGGAGGTCCAGGTGGGAGGTTCTCAGGAAGTTGAGGATGTAGCGGAAAACCTTGCCGTCCCGGTCGATGAAGCAGTTGCCTTGGCTGTCCCTCTTGGTTGGCAGGTTCCCGCTGAACATGGCACCCAGCATGGAGTCTGGGAAGCTGGTCAAGGTGGACAGCGATGTTGTGTACAGCTTCCCACCAACGTTTAGTGTTATAGGCTCTGACATGGTGGGAGGAAGGGACGTCCGGAGCAGATCTGGGATGGAAGGAATGAGCATCAGACATTAGCACATGCATCGTTTAGGGGTGGGATTTTTTTGGAGAGGCAGAAACTTGAGTGCATTAAAATTCTTCCATTTACCTCCCTCTTCAACCCTCTTCTGGTGAAGCAGGAGAGGTGAAGGAACACGAGGAGGAGAAGGTGGTGTGAAAGCCCTTGACTCTCCACCAGAAGGACCCATCCCTCTTGTCCTCCTGGACCTGCTCCTCACTCTCCAACCCTCCAACTGATCCTGTCTGACTCTTGTCTCCTGGCTGTTATGGGCTCCCCCAGATCCCTTCTTCCTTCAGCTTCTAACCCCCTTTCTCCCAGTGCCCCACTCCTCAGTTTGCCTAGCCACCACTCCTCAGTCTCCAGCCAGTCCCTGACAGTATCAGCAGGAAAGTCTTCTCCTGCAGAGCACAATAACTGGTTGAGTATCTAAGGAGTGAGATGATCTTTTGAGAGCCAGTGTGGTGTGGTGGTTAAGAGCAGTGGACTCGTAATCTGGTGAATGGGGTTCACTTCCCTGTTCCTCCACATGCAACTGCTGGGTGACCTTGGGCTAGTCACACTTCTCTGAAGTCTCTCAGCCCCACTCACCTCACAGAGTGTTTGTTGTGGGGAAGGAAGGGAAAGGAGAATGTTAGCCGCTTTGAGACTCCTTCGGGTAGTGATAAAGCGGGATATCAAATCCAAACTCCTCTTCTTATTTTGGAAGCTGATTAGGGCTTTGCACACCTGTACTAGCACCTGTTGTCTTTGTCCATGGAGTTTGTCCAATGACAAACCTAGACATCATCTTAAAAAGCAGAGACATCACCTTGCCAACAAAGGTCCGTATAGTTAAAACTTTGGTTTACCCAGTAGTGATGTATAGAAGTGAGAGCTGGACCATAAAGAAGGCTGATCGCCAAAGAATGGATGCTTTTGAATTCTGGTGCTGGAGGAGACTCTTGAGAGTCCCATGGACTGCAAGAAGATCACATCTATCCATTCTGAAGGAAATCAGCCCTGAGCGCTCACTGGAAGGACAGATCCTGAAGCTGAGGCTCCAATACTTTGGCCAACTCATGAGAAGAGAAGACTCCCTGGAAAAGACCCTGATGTTGGGAAAGATGGAGGGCACAAGGAGAAGGGGACGACAGAGGATGAGATGGTTGGACAGTGTTCTTGAAGCTACCAGCATGAGTTTGACCAAACTGCGGGAGGCAGTGGAAGACAGGGGTGCCTGGCGTGCTCTGGTCCATGGGGTCACAAAGAGTTGGACATGACTAAACAACAACAACAACAACTAGCACCTAGAAGGCTGTATTATAAAATCATAGAGTTGGGAATCTCAGCTAAAGCATCCAGGACAGACGCCCATCCAACCTCTGCTTAAAAACCTCCCAAGGAGGGAGACCGTTCCACTGTCAAACAACCTGAGGATCCACTTTCTAGGTGTTTGGTTCCCACATGCAAGACCGTAACTGCAGCTTTCAGCGTCGGCTTGCAAGCGAGAACAAAACTCCCACAGGTAGAACTTCTACGTCTCCAGAAAACAACACTTTTCAGCATAGCTACTTTGCCTGTTCAGATGCCACCAGGCTTCCAACGTCTGAGTAATGCAGTGAAGAGGAAATCAACTGATGGTATGAACCTGTGTGAATGAGTTCTTGGGTGAAGGGAAATGGAGACCCGTAGTAACTGGTCATCAGCCTTGAACGCCAGTTTGCCTCAAAGTCAACGACAATTTCCCCGTTGGAAATCTCAGGGCTGTAAATTCAAGAAGCTGCACGCAAGTCTACTACTAGGTCTTCTGCTGAGGCCAGATACCATCTGGAGACAAGGTACCTTTACAATGTCTGCTAATTTATTAATCGGCACAAAGCCAGCGTAGTTAGAAAGTCACACTAGGACTTGGGAGACCTGGGTTCAAATCCTCACTCACAGGGTTATTGTGAGGATGAAACAGAGGAATGTAAACCACGTATGCCGCCTTGAGCTCTTGTGGGGTATACATGTCAGGAAGAAAGGAAGAGAAACTTGCTAACAAAACTCCCATCACCCCTTCCTGGCTGGGGCTGATGGGTGTTGGAGTACAATGACAATCTGAGGACCCTACTTAGGGGCCTTGGTTCTCAAACACCTTGGTTCTCAAACGCCAAAAACCAGGAAGTAAGTGTTCTGGTTTTCTAACGTTTTCCGAAAGCCGAACGTCCGGTGTGGCTGTCGGCTATTGTTTCAGGGGCGGCTGCACCAATCAGAAGCTGCGCCTTAGTTTTTAAACATTTTGGAAGTCAAACAAAGTTCTGGAACGGATTAAGTTTGGTGCTTTTATTTTTGCTATGTATTTTGTGTTTTTGAGGCTTTTTTGGTTAATCTGTTTTTGTGACTGTGTGGAACCCAGTTCAGCTACTGATTGATTTATTGTGCGACTGCGGAAATGGGTAAAAGCCCCCCATCCAGACAATGATTATCATCAGTGCAGGTAAGAATTTTATGTTTTTTAATCATCTACAATGCTGGCTTATTTATTTTATAGTACAGCACATTGATTATTGCTTTCATTTTATGGATCAATGGTCTCGTTAGTAAAATTCATGTTGAATTGCTGTTTTAGGTTGTTTTTTTTAAAAAAAGTCTGGAACGGATTAATCCGTTTTGCATTACTTTCTATGGGAAAGCGCGCCTTGGTTTTGGAACGCTTTGGTTCCAAATCCGGAACGGATTAAGTTTGTGAACCAAGGTATCACTATACCAGGTTACGGAAAGGTGTGTTAGGAGTCAGAACTTTCAGACCCTCTTCAATCCATTATGACACGGCGTGCTGAACCTTTACATGTTATGGAAGAGAAGAATAACAGTTGGCTGCGTGAATGGGCCTTTCCCCATGACTCTTTTTTCACTGCGTCAGGTGAGATATAAGGCTGGAAAGAACATTTCACCGACCCATCCATGAGGTAAGACCACTTGGGCAAAGAGTGATCTTGGAGGGAGTAAGCCAATTAGGGTGTCAAGGGAAACACGAGGGATAAGAAATGCAAGAATTGTTTTGCTGGATGAGCACAAGTTTTCCGTCTGCATTCTAAGGCTGGATCTAGACACATTAAAAAAAACGTTTTGGGAAAACACGTTGCAAAGCTCATAATGGGAAATCACATTAGCGACGGATCAAACTCTACAGCGCCATCTGGTGTCGTGGTGTTATAACACATTTAAAACCAATGTAAAAGGTAAAGGGGCCCCTGACCATTAGGTCCAGTTGTGAACGACTCTGGGGTTGCGGCGCTCATCTCGCTTTATTGGCCGAGGGAGCCAGCGTACAGCTTCCGGGTCATGTGGCTAGCAGGACTAAGCCGCTTCTGGCGAACCAGAGCAGCGCACGAAACGCCGTTTACCTTCCTGCCGGAGCGGTACCTATTTATCTACTTGCACTTTGATGTGCTTTCGAACTGCTAGGTTGGCAGGAGCAGGGACCCAGCAACGGGAGCTCACTCCATCACAGGGATTCGAACCGCCGACCTTCTGATCGGCAAGCCCTAGGTTCTGTGGTTTAACCCACAGCGCCACCCGTGTCCCAAAAACTAATGTAGCTGTGTCCTAAGTCCAATAGTGGTCAGCCATATATTTCTGAGAAGGTAGTCCACCATCTAATTCTCACAGTGACCAAACAGATAGATGCCTCTTATGGGAAGTCGGGAAGTCGGGTCTGATTTTTGCTTTGTTTATGCTTTTATTGTTAAATTGCTTCTAAATGTTTTAGAGGAAGTGATTAATAAATGAACAAATAACAAATAAATAAAACAATGTGAAGAATGTGTATACCGCTCAACAGAAAGTATCTAAGTGCAAGGAAGGGCATGTAAAAATATGTAAGACCGAAAATTAGAAATCATAATAATAAAAACCCTTCATTGTATGTTGTATCAGCCGTAAACTTCTAAACAACAATTCAGCTGGAGATGACCTGAGTTGCTGTTAAGCCTCTGAAGCGCAAATAATAGGTGCCCATTGCCAAGGGGACAAAATGCCATTATGCTGGTGCATAATTAAGAGGCATATACAGTGGAACCTTAGTTCCTGAACGGCTTAGTTGCCAAACAAATCAGCTCCAGAACGCCGCAAACCAGAAAATAAGTGTTCCGGTTTGTGAATGCTTTTCGGAAGCCAAACATCTGACGCGGCTTCTGCTTGTGTGCAGGAAGCTCCTGCAGCCAATCAGAAGCCGCGCCTTGGTTTTCAAACAGTTTCGAGAGTCGGACGGACTCCCGGAACGGATTAAGTTCAAGAACTATGGTACCACTGTAATAATAATAATACCCCGCCCATCTGGCTGGGTTTCCCAGCCACTCTGGGCAGCTTCCAGCTAAATATAAAAACATAATAAAACGTCAAACGTTTAAAAACTTCACAATACAGGACTGTCTTCAGATGTCTTCTAAAAGTAAGGTACAGTGGATGCTTGGGTTGTGAATGTGATCTGTACGAGAGGCACGTTCGCAACCCACAGCATTTGCAACCCGCAGCGCCGCGTCTGCGCACGTGCAGATTGCAATTCGGCACTTCTGCGCATGCGCAAAGCGCGATCTAGCACTTTGCACATGTGTGACCGCCGAAACCCAGAAGTAACCTGTTCCAGTACTTCTGGGTTTTGACGCGTCTGTAACCTGAAAAAAACGCAACCTGAAGCATCTGCAACCCGAGGTATGACTGCAGTTGTTTATCTCCTTGGCATCTGGTGGGAGGGCGTTCCACAGGGCGGGCGCCACTACCGAGAAGGCCCTCTGCCTGGTTCCCTGTGGCTTCACCTCTCGCAGTGAGGGAACTGCCAGAAGGCCCTCTGAGCTGGACCTCAGTGTCTGGGCTGAGCAATGGGGGTGGAGACGCTCCTTCAGGTATACTGAAGTTTAGCCATCCCTGACTTGAGGCCTACATAATACCTGGAGGATAACTGAAACGCAGGTAGGAAACTGGCCCCCTTGGGTGAAGAATGTTGGTGCGCATATGAGTCAAAGGTCGCTGGTGAAGGACCTTTGAGTCCTATGTGGATATTTGCTTCCTTGACCTGCTCTGCGCTTGTGGTCCGACCCGACGGCCCAGCTTTGAAACAAGTGGCTGTGCCGATGAACTTTTGCTCCTGCGCAAATTCCACCCCCTTTGTTTTTAAAATAACTATCTGCAAAGCAGGGGCTTAACTGACCTTGAAAAAATGTCAAACAACTGGTCAGAGCCGTTCTGTATTTAACCTGAAGCAAGGATACACCTCTGTGTGGAGTGATGGCTAACTTGGGGGGACGATTTTGTGCTTGTCTACATAGGAAAGGCTATGAAAGAGCCATAGCTCAGTGCAAAGGAGTGAGACTTGTATGCATATAGTTATCTGAAGTTTAACATTTTAGTATGTTTTTATATATGTTGGAAGCCACCCAGAGTGGCTGGGGCAACCAAGTCAGATGGGTGGGTTGAAGAAGAAGAAGAAGAAGAAGAAGAAGAAGAAGAAGAAGAAGAAGAAGAAAGAAGAAGAAGAAGAAGAAGAAGAAGAAGAAGAAGAAGAAGAAGAAGAAGAAATCCCTCCTTTAGGAGAGAAATGTTGGAGGGCAAGGGCGAATGGCTGGATACAGAAGACTCTTACTACAGTCGTCCCTTGGAAGTCGAACGGAATCCTTTCCGGAAGTCCTTTCAACTTCCAAAACGTTCGGAAACGAAAGCGCGGCTTCTGATTGGCTGCAGGAAGCTCCTGTAGCCAATCGGAAGCCGCATCAGATGTTTGGCTTCCAAAAACAGTTCGCAAACCAGAACACTCACTTCTGGGTTTGCAGCGTTCGGGAGCCAAAACGTTTGAGAACTAACTGCTTGAAAAACAAGGTGCGACCGTATATTCTTATGTTCTGAAATCCCTGGAGTCATTGTCAGTCAGAGCAGACCAGGTGAGTAACCTGTGGCACTCCAGATATTGCTGGACTGACTCTCAGCATCCCTGACACCACCACTGGCCATGGTGTCTGGCGCTGATGGGAGTTGTAGTTGCGGTTCAAGACATCTGGAGGATGTCAAATTGGCAAAAGCTTTGTTACGGAAGTGCCACCTGCAACAACAACCTGCAGACGTTGATGTAAGTTCCCCTGAGCCCTGGGGCGTACAAAAGAGTGTTAGACATGTAAATACATAAGCAACATTAAGGCCACCTCAACCACACTTTAAAACCTACCCTTAAAAAAGATCTTCCTTCCAAAATATCTCCATGTTTATCTTTAGGGTTGTATTGTAAGGCAAGGCGCAGCTAATCAAGGTATATTTGCACATATCCTGTCTGATATTTTTGGCCCCATCTTGTTATACCTTTAATCCCTTAAAACCAGTCCTACCTTTAATGATAAGATCATAGGTAAATCCAGGTTGGTGCTCTTAGATAAAAGGAACCAGCCGTGTATTAACAGATGATTTACCAATTCTGGCTTGCCGTCTGCCTTCAGCCACAAAAACTAAAAAACTGGTTCAGCCGTTAGGGTCTGCCCCCTGGCCCGATCCCAATCATGATTACTCAGAAGGAAGTTTCCGTGAATTCAGCCAAGCTTACTCTCAATTAAGTGCAGAGATCGTGGCAACCTTAATTTAATTTTACCTTGCCTCTAACAAGCCTGGTCTAGCTACATTCATCTTTCCAAGGAGCTGAGGTCCTGCAAAAGGTCTTGCGTGCAGCTCAGGTCTTGCGATGATCTTGGCTTTCAACAACTTCGCATTTAGAAGAAATTCTAATGCGGACCCAGCAGACAAAAGTCATATCGAAACAGATTTGCCAGAAAGTATAGCATCTCTCTTTCTCCCTAAGATAGAAGTAGTTGTCAGACTATTTGCCCATTAGCTACTATTTCCAACTCTGACTAGGAACATCGCTTCATCATCTCAGACAGAGCATCTTTACCCTCTCCTGTTACATGTAACCTGGCAGTATCACATTAGTGTTTAAAAGTTCTAAATGACTTAAGCTCCAAATATCTGAAAGGCCTTCTCCTTCCCTACAGATCCTCTTAAGATCTGCAGAGAGAATCCTCTTGGTAATTTTGTTGCCCTTACAGGATCGAGGTGGTGGTAGTGGGTGTAGCAAGGGACAGGGTCTTCTCTGTGGCGGCCCCTAAACTATGAAATTCCCTCCTCACAGAAGTGCATTTATAGTCATAAAGGTAAAGGGACCCCTGACCATTAGGTCCAGTCGTGACCAACTCTGGGGTTGCGGCGCTCGTCTCGCTTTATTGGCCGAGGGAGCCGGCGTACAGCTTCCAGGTCATGTGGCCAGCATGACTAAGCCGCTTCTGGCGAACCAGAGCAGCGCACGGAAACGCCGTTTACCTTCCCGCCGGAGTGGTACCTATTTATCTACTTGCACTTTGACGTGCTTTCGAACTGCTAGGTTGGCAGGAGCAGGGACCGAGCAACGGGAGCTCACCCCGTCACGGGGATTCGAACCGCCGACCTTCTGATTGGCAAGCCCTAGGCTCTGTGGTTTAACCCACAGCGCCACCTGCGTCCGACTTCATTGTACTACTATGCACACAGCAAACAGTCGCAGGGAGAAGGTCAGGCGGGCTAAAGCTCGGAATGAGCTCAGACTTTGAAAAAAGGTTATTTTTATTATTATTAAAAATAATATCTTTGGATATGTTCGAAGCAAGAGGAAGAAGATGCAAGCAGTAGGTCCTCTGCATGGAGAAGACAGAGAAATGCTATTGGGTGAAAGAGAGAAGGGAACACGTACCTACTATAAACGAATTCAAATCTCCACCCAAGCTGCACCCAAGGGTACTAAAGGAACTTGCGGATATAATCTCAGAGCCTCTGTTTACAATCTTCGAGAATTCTTGGAGAACAGGTGAGGTTTCTGCAGACTAGAGACTAGAGATAGGCCAGTGTTGATCCTGATAACTAGCGACAGATCAGCTTGACATCGATACCAGGACAAGTCCTAGAACAGATAATTGAATGGTCGGTCTGTGAGCACTTATAAAAGGATGCCTTGATAACTAAGACCCAGCATCGGTTTCTCAAAAACAAGTCATGCCAGAGGATAGAGTTACAAGCTTTGATAGAGGTACAAACTTGGTGGATCAGGGGAATGCTGTGGACATAGTGTATCTTGATTTGAGATCTTGACAAAGTCCTCCATGGTATACTCGTGTTAAACCTGGTAAAATATGGGCTGGACGAGGTAACTGTTAGGTTGATTTGTAGTTGATTTACTGACCAAACCCAAAGACCGCTCACTAATGGTTCCTCATATCATCCTGGAAAAAAGTGACAAATGGAGTGCTGCAGCGTTCTGTCCAGCGTCCGTTGTCATTCAACGTCTTTATAAATGACTTGGAAGCAGGAATTGAGGGGATGCTCATCCAATTGGCAGATGACACCGCAGAAGATAGAATTTGAATTCAAGATGCCCTGAAAAGATTGGTGAACTGGGCCAAAACAAAGTAACAAAATGCATTTCAATAGGGACAAAGCTAAGGTTCTAAACTTAGGCATCCCCAACCTGCGTCCCTCCAGATGTTTTGGCCTACAACTCCCATGATCCCTAGCTAACAGGACCAGTGGTCAGGGATGATGGGGATTGTAGTCCAAAACATCTGGAGGGCCAAAGATTGGGGATGCCTGTCCTAATCCAACCCTCTAACCCAGGCATAGGCCCTGGGGCCTTCAGCATGTGAGACGGGTGTTGTACAAATGAGCTGGTCTCTCCCTTGAGTTAGGATGGTGTTGTGAGCAGAATGAGAGACCTGAAATTGCTGAGAGGCTCTGGGCAATTTTTTATCATGGTTTCCCTTCTCCAAAACAGAAATAATACGGCCTACTGCAGAGGGTTTATTTATGTCTCATTCATGGCCTGCCTTTCCTCCAAAGCAGATGGCATTTTCATGCAACAACAACTTTGCGAGGTAGGTTAGGCAGAAAAATAGTGACTGACCCCAAAGCCCCCGGTCACTTTCACAGCTAAAGCTGTGGCATAAAATTGTGTTTCAAACTTCCAAGGCCATCTCTCTAGCCACTGGACTATCACAACTCCCTATAATGAGTAAGTAAGAAAGAAAAGAGTCTAGGTTATAAATGGGTATATTTTTATGTCTCTACGCAAACACACATCTGAACAATCTCAGTAACTTAGAGCAGAAATAAGTACTGCAAATAGCTGGAGAAAGTAAAGGCGTTTGCATGCAGAGATTGAATAAAAAATTGATCAGACAGCACAAAGTCTAAAAACAACGAGGTTTTAAGATTATGGGATGACAGCAGACTTTGTAATAGAGCTGGGTCTTTTTATGGACTATTGTAAGGTAACTTATGGTGGGGGAAATAATACGAATATACCTTTTACTGTTGCGTAGGGGCCTTGTTGCTGTGGATAATTTAAGAGTGGTTTACAAACTTGTACATAATGTTGGAAGGCGTTTAGATAGGGACATGTTGCCTTGATATCAACAGTTTATGTAAGCGTGTATACGCTTGGGAGCACCTTTGGATACCAAAGTGGAAGGACAATGTCAAACCGGAAAAGGACCTGGTACACATCTGCTACCTTGTCACCTTTAACTGCCTGACAGGCGGAAACTCAACAGATGCAGCTCTCCTTTCAGAGGAACTTTCCGACAGTTTTCCTGAGAAATGTGACTTCTGAGCCAGCTGGGTTTTAAAAGCCCCCCCTCCCCAAACAAACAGACAAAAAACCCCATCAAGGTGTATCATGAACCTTGAGCCAAAGGCATGCATCTGAGGGGCCCAGCCGTTGGGATCCCTCTGTTGATCCCTCTCCTGCGACCAGCCAGCATCCCATTCATTGGAGGGCTTCCCCCGGCATCCTCCGCCCCCGTTTGCGCACCTGGATCTTTCGCATCACTTACCTGTCGCGCTGCCAACCTGCTGGACCGCTGTCGCAGATGCTTCTTTGGGGTGGGGAAGGGGAGAGAGAGGAAAAAAACACGATGGGGGAGCTTGGGTGGACTGGGGAGGGGGGGGGGAAGGCAAAGAGGTGGATCTGCCCTGCCTAGGAGACGAAGGGAAACCCCAGCCGGCCGCAATGCTCCGTGGGAACTGTATTTCCTGGGCGCCTCCGGTGCCAGCGCCGCGGGCCGGGGACGGGACTACAACTCCCAGCCGGCTCCGGGGCAAAGGCGGCCGGCGATCAGCTGGTGTTAAAGGGGACGCAGCCCTGGAATTGTGACTCGGGGGGAGGGAGGGGGGAAGAAAACAAACCCACAGAGCGAGCCCATCTCCGAAAGCAGCCGGAGGTGGTTCCCTGGTGATGCGCGCCGGCTGCAGCAAAGCAGCTCCTGGGCGCTTTTCCATCTGCACCACCAAGTCTGGGTTGGTTTGTTTTTTTGCAAGCGGGGCGCTGGAGGAAAAGTGGGGCGTTGCTATTATTATTATTATTATTATTATTATTATTATTATTATTATTATTATTATTTGCAAAGGCGTCTTCTGCACCTGGAGAGAGAAGTAAGTGAACGGCCGCCTCCCTCCCTCCCTCCCTCCCTCGCTTGCTTGCTTGCTTTTTTGCTCGCCTCCCCGTTTTGCGCAATGGTAACGCGCGCGTGCAGTGCGGAAGGCTCCTCTGCGAGGAAGCGCCGCTGGGGTTTTGCAAGCGGGAGGGGAAATTGCTGCCAGGTAAATGGGCGCAGGGTGGCCCCATCTGGTCCTTCGGGTTTGGGGAGCTTCCTCGGCTCAGAATCTCCGCGCGAACCCCTCTTTTTGACCCCTCTTTCTTCGTGGAGTTGGAAAGGGACCCGACGGGTCATCTAGACCAACCCCGCGCAATGCAGGGATCGCAGCTGAATTCATGGAGGTTAGATGCGGCTCCGCTAGCAGCGCGGAGAGCCTCCATGTTTAGCGACAGTATACCCCTGAGTGCTTGATGCTGGGTGGCAAATGACGGGAGAGGGCAGTTGCCCTGTTGCCCCCACTTTGTGGTCTTTCCTGAGGGGTCTGGCAGGGAAAGCGACCATCGATCTTTGGGTTAATGCAGCTGCGCTCTTCCTATGTTGTCTTCTAGCTGCTTAAGGTGCACTCTGCACATGCTCAGTGCTGCTCTTTTTTCCCTGGAGGATGACTTAGAATCGTAGAGACGGAAGGGACCCAAAGGGTTATCAAATCCAACGCCCTGCAATGCAGGAACTTCATCTCTTTCAAGGCCGAGATGTGGTTTGGGGAACTGATTTTGGAGCACAATTCTTGATTTTTTGTTCCAGTCACTCGTCCTTTTCCCTGGGGCTGCCGTCCTCTTGTGAACCAAGTAACCGTATGGTCAGGTTTTGGCGAGACAGGTGAGTCTGCGGAGGGAATAGCAAGTGTGGAAAGATGGAGGAATGTTCCTGCAGCAGAACAAGCCCTTGGCGAAAACAAAAAAGTTGTCAGGCTTATTGATATGATGCAAGAAGAAGTCCAGGGGGAGTGCCAGTGGTGAGGCTGCCTCGTTGCTAACTCAGACTGAAATTTATGCTCTCTCCATTCTGTCACTACCACGTACTTCTGTAATAAGAACGGCTGCAGAATTAGAGCCATCAGAGAAGTGCAGTTGTGGTGCAGTAAATAGATGCATTTATTTATTACATTCTGCCATTTCTTTTAAGGAGCGCACAGTATTGTGCAAGGTTCTCCAGCCTAGTGTAGTGGTTAGAATGTCAGACTAGGAACTGGGAGACAGGGGGTTCAAATCCCTTCGCAGCCTTGAAGCTCACTGGGCTTCCAGTCTCTGTCTAACCTACCTGCCAGGTTTGTTGTGAATTGGGGAGTGCATGTCGCCTTGAGCAAATTGGAGGAAAGTCAGGATGTCAATGCAATAAGAAATGGACGCGCACCTGTACGTTTTATCCTTGCAATAATCTTGTGGGTTGGTTGGGCAGAGAGAGTGATTAGCGCAAGGTCTTCCAGTGAGCTATGTGACAAGAGTGGGGATTTGAACCCAGGGCTCTCTGGGTTGCTAACCACTGTACAAACACCAGCTGTAAGTCAAGTCTCCTGCGAGGGTGCTGGATTAGATGGGCCATTGGTCTGATCAAGCAGTGGCATGGTTTAGGGGAGCGGGGAGGTCCTGGGGTCCATGGCCCTGGGTTCAAAACTCTGAGGGGGTGCAACCAGGTGCCCCCGTGCAGGCGCTAGCTTTTGGGGACCCTCGCTCTACCCCGGCAAAGGCAGCAGAGCAGCCCAAGCCCACAGTGGGTGACCCCAGCGCAGCCCGGCCCAGCACTCTTCTTCATGGGTGTCAGGATGAGTCTCCCACCAAGGGCTGCATTGGCTGGCCAGGCTCCACCCTGCATGGGTGGGTGGGTTGTGCGACGTGGCCCCGCTTGGCTCAGAGTGGGGGGTACCTTCTGGTGTCATCGGTGTCTTGCCTGCCCCGGGCACCAGCAACCCACGCTATGCCACTGTTCTTAAGTTCACTGGGCGTCCTCCAGCTTGGAGCTGCAGTCCCAAACATCTAGAGAGCACCAGGTTGGGGAAGATGAGTGTAGGCCAATGAAAAGAAGCCACCACACTTTGAACTTATTGACTGTCTTGGCATAGGTGTTATGGCTGTTATTACAGATGACTTGGGCGCTTTCATGAAGGCTAGGTCTGCCATTGACTATTGGCCATATCAACTAAAATTGTGTTTCTGTAAACAGGGGCATCAGTATACCTGTCATTACTGGGCACCAGCAGGGAGAGAGAGAGAGAGACTGAGACTGGCCATTTTCATTATACCTGACTTGTAGGCTTCTCTGAGTCATTTGACTGCACACTGCCGGAGACATAAATCTGGGAGCGGTAGGACTTTGACCTGATTCAGCATGACGGTTATGGTATTTCTGAGATCTGGTACTCAGCTTTATACTGAACAAAATACTCGCCCTCTTTTTTATGGTACACACTTTCTCTTCGCCAGAAGTGTCATATAATTATGGTATAAAATCCATTCATTTCAAGTTGTGCAAGTGTTCCATATTCACTCCTTTTCATTTCTTGTGTTTGTGGAATCCGCAGAGATTTCTTCCAGGTCTGTTTGATGAAAGAAAATGATGGTTTTGTGAGGCAAAGCAAATTGATTATTCAGAAATGGCAGTAATAAAAACGTGTGATCATATGCAGACTTGCTTGGGAGGGAAAAGCCCACCATTGTGGGACTTAACTTCTTCTTCTTCTTCTTCTTCTTCTTCTTCTTCTTCTTCTTCTTCTTCTTCTTCTACCCTGTCCATCTGACTGGGTTGCCCCAGCCGCTCTGGGCAGCTCCCAACAAAATATTTAAAACATCAAACATTAAAAACTTCCCTAAACAGGGCTGCTTTCAGATGTCTTCTCAAAGTCAGACAGTTGTTTATTTCCTTGACATCTGGTGGGAGGGTGTTCCACAGGGCAGGTGCCACTACCGAGAAGGCCCTCTGCCTGGTTCCCTGTAACCTCACCTCTCACATTGAGGGAACCACCAGAAGGCCCTTGGAGCTGGGCCTCAGTGTCCAGGCTGAACGATGTGGGTGGAGGTGCTCCTTCAGGTATACTGGGCCAATGCCATTAATCAGAAAATATGCACAGGATTGTTGATCTTCAGTTTTTGATTCAAATTATAACCTTCCTTCTAGGCACTGGCGGAGGAAGAGGGGTGTGGGGGGAGCGTACCGCCCCCCGGCAGCGCGATCCCGGTGGGGTGCCATCATGGCTGCTCCCCACCTGCGCTGGGCACCCCACCCCCACAGGAGTGTACCACGCCCCCGGGACGCGCACCAGCCCCGCCCCCGCCTGCTCCCCCCCTGCTCCCCCCCTAGCATGCAATGAAGGGAATGGATCTAGCGTGAATTCTTTGTCTCAGAGTTATGATATGAAATCACTTTTATTTTTAATTTATTGTTCGTATATTACAATTATATCCTGCCCTTTCTCCCAAAGGAAGTGGGTGTCATTTTTCAGGAACGCCTTGTCTCTGCTTTTGCGTATTATGAACGAGTCTGCCTTTTGCAAAACCTTATTGTGTGAAGACTGCTGATTTTTAAAAATGTAAATCCTTAATACAAGTTGGCAGTAGTCAAGAAATGTAATGGGAACGAAGTTGTACAGAATGTGGAGTAAAACATCCTGAAAGCATGGGACGATCTGTCTTGAATTAAGCATTCTTTCAGTCCAATCCTATGCATGTTTCCAAGCACAATTCAAAGTGTTGGTGTTGACCTTTAAAGACCTAAATGGGCTCGGCTCAGTATACCTGAAGGAGCGTCTCCACCCCCATCGTTCAGCCCAGACACTGAGGTCCACTTCTGAGGCCTTCTGACGGTTCCCTCACTGCGAGAAGCAAAGCTACAGGGAACCAGGCAGAGGGCCTTCTCGGTGGTGGCGCCCGCCCTGTGGAACACCCTCCCATCAGATGTCAAAGAGATAAACAACTACCTGACATTTAGAAGACATCTGAAGGCAGCCCTGTTCAGGGAAGTTTTTAATGTGTGACATTTTAATGTATTTTTAATCTTTGTTGGAAGCTGCCCAGAATAAATGATGATGATGATGTTGACTCGGGGCTGAAGTCAAATGGCTGTGTTAACAGCACTATAGTTTCCTCCCTGGGGTAAAAGCATGGGCAGTATGTCTGGAGGTCCTGGGCTGCCCAGACGACAAGACCCCCCTCTTAGCTTCACTGATGTGGTCCAAAGAAAGCCGAGTAAGATATTTGGCACCAGCTTGGCTGCAGGAGTTGCTGGAAAGAGGCCTACAAGGAGCCATTCTTACTGACTCCACTCTGAATTTGTGCAGCAGTTCCTCCTGAGACTTTTCTTCTCCCAAAGATATCCCACAAGGCAGCAGAGGTTTAGGGCCAGAGTTTTCCTTCTTAAAGGGGACGTGGGTGGCGCTGTGGGTTAAACCACAGAGCCTAGGACTTGCAGATCAGAAGGTCGGCAGTTCAAATCCCCGCAACGGGGGGGAGCTCCCGTTGCTCGGTCCCTGCTCCTGCCAACCTAGCAGTTCGAAAGCACGTCAAAGTGCAAGTAGATAAATAGGTACCGCTCCAGCGGGACGGTAAACGGTGTTTCCATGTGCTGCTCTGGTTCGCCAGAAGCGGCTTAGTCATGCTGGCCACATGACCTGGAAGCTCCCTCGGCCAGTAAAGCGAGATGAGCGCCACAACCCCAGAGTCGGCCACGACTGGA